TTTTTTTTTTTTTTTTTTTTTTTTTGCTTTTCATTTCTGAAAGGAACCTCCGTGATGAACGCGGGGCAGGGAACACTGCATGGACTTCTGACAACTTCTCAAAGAGGGCATATACTCAGATTCTGTATCTAACCGGTTTCACGTCCATATTGGGGCTCCTTTTTTTTTTTTATGCTTTTCATTTCTGAAAGTAACGTCCGTGACGAAGCCTCATTGAGGGCATACTCTCACACTGACCCCTGATTCTGTATCCAACTGCTTTCTCGTCCATAGCGTTGTGGCTTTTTTTTTTTTTTAGTTCTTTTTTCTTTTTCATGTTGTTCTTTTGGCAGGAGTATGAGAAAAGAAAATACAACCGCACCCAGGCTCGGCAAAAGTCGGTGCGCAGTGAAATTCAGGTTCGTTTAAATCAGGTGCAGGTGTACTTGTGGTTTAAACTTTCATTTCTGACATTTGAATGCAGTGCTTTAATATTTGACCTGTTAACTTTGAGTTTGATGGTTAGCATTATCAAGCTTGAATTTTGACTGTGAACTGTTTCTCATACAATTCTTGCAGGTTATTGAGAGCTTAATTAGTAACTCACTGAAGTTCACGAATGTAGGACATATCTTTATCTGCGTACGGCTTGGATCGGATGACCTACTAGGTGCACATCGTATTGCATCACTGACTGGATCACATGGAAGCATGAATCAATCGTTTGCTGGCAATGCCTTGAGTCCCCAAAAGCTGGAGGACGAGAGTTTTATGGAGATGTCTTTCACCGCCCGGAGACCCGAGAGTTATACCGACATGTCTTTCACCAGCCGCAGAGCGGATCCTTCTAGGGGAAGTGTAGGTTCGCTAGGGATATTTCATCGAGGCCTTCGGAGCTCTGGAACATGGGCGAACCTGCAACAAATTTTTGACTACAATGTATCGCCTATTCGACCTACACCAACTGGAGCGGAGAACACTTTCCATGTCATCTTTTCTGTGGAGGTGTGTCAGTCCAAGAACCACCGAAACCTTTTCTGCCCTTTGCATCCAGGTTGTACCATGGAGCCGGTATCTTCTTCATGTCCTCATTTAATCCTCAATAATCGTGAATAATGTCTCATTGCCATGAACGTTAACTTGTCCTTTCTTTTTCTCCAGAAGTTTTTCGGCACACACACACACACACACACACACACACATGCACACGCACACGCACACGCACACACACACACACATCGCACAGGTACAGTTCGGTTGGCATGTACACGACATAGCCTCTGCTCCGAACACTATGAAGGGATGGTTGCTGCTAGCCTCTCACACGAAAATTGTGATCCCGAGTCCTGTGCTCATCCCCCCCACCCCCTGATTACTTGCCCAGCATGCCGTTGTGGCCTTGATCTGCCATGCTTAAATAACCGTGCACGTCAGCCTTCCATACTAATGACATGTCAGCAACATGCCATGTGTCGTCAATGCTTCCAGGAAGCTGTCATAGAAAGTATGTGTCTTTACTGCGTGGACTATCCCCGGTGCCATCACCCTCCACATCCTCTCCTAGCATGTCCCACATGCGGTATAGGTCATACACCTACGGCAACCGCTGACGGATCTCCCTCTTTCTTGCCAGACGAACGACGAACACAGCAGTCCGAGGAGGGAAATAGACTTCTATATGAACCACCGGCAGAGCGATGTGCTCATAGTTTATCACCACCAGGGCAAGCTGTTGCGGATCATATCCTGCAGCAGCTGAATGCCCTTGCGTTGGACCGATCCTCCCTGTCGTCGTCTGCCCATAGAGAAGGAATACATACTGAGGAAGCCCAAGAAAGATGATCCATGCCGTTTTGTGATGACCCGCCGTAGATTCAACTAGCATGTGGTTCACATGCCTTGTGCCGTGAGGATTATGAAGGTATAGTCCATTCGAGTTTTTGCTTCCATACGTACGATGACAGTCAGTACTGTACTCATGTACGGCACCCCGACATGTCATGTCCAATTTGTAGACAGGGGCTGGAACGACAATGCCTCTATAATTGCAGTCGACGTGCCTCTGTGTTCCTAGCATTACGAGCCACGTAGCCTGTGAAATATGTCTGCGCCGTGCCATTCGATGCAGCAACTGTGACTGTAAAAATTGGATGCGGTGCTTCCATAGCCCACACCCGAACCGGTCCTGTCCGGTCTGTAGGGGTGGCCACTCGCCATAGGGTTTGTTAAACTTTTTTTTTTTTTTTTTTTTTTTAAGAAGTCTGCTTCAGCAGTGAATATTTAGAAATCTGTGAAACCCGTCATACACCTTTCCCCTGCTCTTTGCATGTCATACTCTATCCTGCCCTCCACATATTTATTTCCTTCCCGTTGCCTCTACCTCCCCTGCCCCATACTCGTAGAGAACTCCGCCTTCTACCCCTTACCCTCCACCCTCCCCTCCACTCCCTTTGTACTACTAACAAATACATACGAATGAGCATCATTAAGAGTATATAGACGATATGAAGATCAGAAATGAAATGAACGGAAGTATGAAGATGAAGGACGGACACAAAGACTGTATAAGCTGAAGATCTGAAGTGAAGTGAACAGGAGTATGAAGCTCTGAAGAGATGCACAGGAGCATACCTTCCCTTTTACTCTGCCTCCTGAAATGATGTGCGAGTGGGCCGTGAAGGCACACGGGGATGTGGCCAGCCGCCGCTCAACCACAATCAACGTGGGCAACCTTGTGCGTAAGAGGCACAGTAAAAGGGGAGCTGCAAGAGCAATGAAAGGGGTACCCCATGGACAACCAAAAAACTGTTTAATTATAAAATTGCTTTAATGTGTTGGACATCTCAAATGCTGTCGTTGTCTGCAATAGGACAAAGACTGCTTTGATTCTGAATCTATTCACCTGGGTGGAATTGGGGCTGTTGTGGGGAAAATCTAAAACACACACACACACACACACCCACACCCACACCCACACCCACACCTACAACCTTGTTTTGGATGAGCCCCTCTTGCCACAGTCGTCGCCGTCGGTCCATAGAGAAGGAATCAATGTAGAGGAAATCCAAAACAGTTGCTCAATGCCATTCTGTGATGATCCACCTGAGATTCGGCTAGCATGGGGCTGCATGCACTGTGTCATGAGGATTATGAAGGCACAGTCCGTGCATCTTTCTGTTTTCATACGTTTGATGACAGTCAATATTGCACTCACGTCCGGCACCCTGACATGTCATGTCCAATTTGTAGACAGGGGTATGCCATGGACAACCAAAAAACTGTCTAATTATAAAATTGCTTTAATGTGTTGGACATCTCAAAATGCTGTCGTTGTCTGCAATAGGACAAAGACTGCTTTGATTCTGAATCTATTCACCTGGCTGGAATTGGGGCTGTTGTGGGGAAAATCTAAAACACACACACACACACACACACACACACACACACACACACACACACACACACCCTTGTTTTGGATGACCCCCTCTTGCCACAGTCGTCGCCGTCGGTCCATAGAGAAGGAATCAATGTAGAGGAAATCCAAAACAGTTGCTCAATGCCGTTCTGTGATGATCCACCTGAGATTCGGCTAGCATGGGGCTGCATGCATTGTGTCATGAGGATTATGAAGGCACAGTCCGTGCATCTTTCTGTTTTCATACGTTTGATGACAGTCAATATTGCACTCACGTCCGGCACTCTATGTCATGTCCAATTTGTAGACAGGGGCTCGAACGGCAATGACTCTACAATTGCGGCCGGCGTGCCTTTGTGTTCCTTGCCTGTGGGAGCCATGTTGCCTGCGATATTTGTCTACGTCGTGGCATTCGGTGCAGCAACTGCAACTGCGAGAATTGGATGCGATGCTTCCACAGTCCGCACCCGAATCGGTGCTGTCTGGTCTGCAGGAGTGGTGTTACATGCTGTACAGGCCCCAACCTGTTTCCCTACAGGGAAACTTCCAGGCTCTTGCCTGGAAGCTTCCTTCTGACAGGGCCTACAGGCCCCAGCCTGTTTCCCTACAGGGAAACTTCCAGGCTCTTGCCTGGAAGCTTCCTTCTGACAGGGCCTA